GACAACAATTCTTAACTTTTTAGTGTCCTCCAGTCCTTTTTTAAAGGCACAAACTTTGGGCTGTCCCCAGGGTTGGCCAGAGTGTGAGTGAGCGTCTTCCCGCTGGGGCTGGGGACCGGATTTCACCTTCTGGAGGCGCGGAGGGAAGACAGCTAGGAACACAATCCTGAACTCCACCATGCCAAGGTCCGCGGTCGATCGGTTCCAGAGTCAGCCAACTGAGACTTGGAGGCGCAGGCGCCTTTTCCAACGCCCCTCCAGTCCTGGCCTCGCGGCACAGCTGCTTCCCAATCATCCGGAGCTGTGCCACCGGGCAAAGGGAGGTGCTGCATCTTTCTTTTTCTTTTTCTTTTTTTTTTTATCCTCACCCGAGGATATTTTTCCATTTTTTGTACAGATAGAGTGGGAGAGAGAGAGAGGAAGGGAGAGAGAGAGAAACATCGACATGAAGGGACACATCGAGTGGCTGCCACCCGCACGACCAACCAGGGCCGGGGACAAACTGCAACCGAAGTACGTGCCCCTCGCGGGAACCGAACCCGGGTCTCTCCGGACCGCAGGCCGTCGCTCTAACCGCTGAGCCAAACTGGCCAGGGCCCGTCCATCTTTCTTAAAGGCAAGAAAGCTCCCCACGATCTCCCCTCCGTTCTGTCTTCCCCCTAAAAACCCACCTGCAGTGGCCGCTTTATTTCAGGGCAAGTGGTTGATGAGACTAGACAAGCCAGATGGGCTCCATATTTTATGTGATCAAGAGTTAGCGCCCCTAAGAGCAGTCCGTGACAACTGAACCCAGGATGTTGCCATATTTTCTGAAGGCACCTTCCAGGTCCCTCAACCCGGGTGTCTATGACCAAACTGCGGTGAAGTGACTAAACACCAAGGGGGTTGGTTTGTCCTTCTCAGAATCCCCCAACCCCTAACAGCTCGTCCTGCTACTTGGGTCCCCTTGGCTGTCGGACACCTAGGCTGGGAGGGGCTTACACATAATTAACACTACATAAATGTTTGACTAATATTATAGTTTACAGTATATTTTAAACTTTATGTTTCATAATATTCTCAACTTCTGAAAATTGTGGCAGCATTACAAATATATTATACTCAAACATTGGTTCTATTTCTATAATGGGATAAATGGTCTTAAGAATGTTTATGACTCTCCAGAGTTACTTCATTGCTTGTATTATTTATGTTCAATGTAGTTCATACAACATATATTCAATATGTGCTTGCTCTTTACCATCACTATGATAGATCAAGAAATATGTCCTGGCCAGTTTGACTCAACGGTTAGAGCATTGATCTGCAGACTGAAGGGCCTCAGATTTGATTTGCAGTCAAGGGCACCTACCTGGGTTGTAGGTTCGATCCCTGACCCCAGTCGGGGTTATGTGGGAGTCAACCCATTGATGTGTCTCTCTCATATTGATGTTTCTCTCTCTCTCTCCCTCCCTTCCACTCTATGTAAAAAGCAATGGAAAAATATTTTCGGATGAGGATTAACAACAACAAAGAAATATCAGTGAACTAAAGAAGTGACTTCTACCCTCAGAAAAGTTATGTTTTGGTGGTAGAGTTAATATTCTTTATTAATGTATTTTTATTAGCAAGAATGATGGTGGTGCTATTTTCTTGGGTGGTGAAACCTGGGAAACACACAGGTTGAGAGAGAAGATAAATTAACATATGTCTATATTGAATTCAAGATTTTCTAGTGGATATATATAGTAAATAGTTGAATATCTGAGTGTGAGAGAGACAACTAAACTGGAGCTATGGATTTGAGATTGTTAATATATAGAAGGCAATTGCCACTAGTAGATAGATAAGTCCTGGAGATCTAATGCACAGTAGAATGAATATAGACAATAATACAGTATTTAATCATCAAACTTGCTAAGAGATTAGATCTTAATTTTTCCAATCACAAAAAGGAAATGATAATTATGTGATGTGATAGAGGTGCTAGCTGTTGCTACAATGGCAATCATATTTCAATATACAAATGTATCCAAATAATGTGTTGTGTACCTTAAATTTGTTATATGTCAAACATACTTCAATTTTTAAAATGGCAATTAATACCACAGACTAGATAAGGTCACTAAAGGAGACAGTGTAGTGGAAGGGGTTGTCAGGGACAAAAGAGGGGAGCCCAAGACTGAACACTCAGAAATTAATTGATCATATATGTGTGGGTCTATTTCCAGACTATCTGTTCTGCTCCATTGATTTAGATCTATCCTTTCTGCAAAACTATACTGTTTTTATTACAATAGCTTTATAAGTCTTAAAATCAATATAATGAAGCTGTCTATTTTCCACATATGGTGAACTTTTACTTGCCAAAAGAGAAAAAAAGACAATTCTGAGCCCAAAGTGATCAGGGATCCCCTAGGGCAGAGGTAGGGAACCTTTCTTCTGCCAAGGACCATACAAAATTATCAACTTAAAAATTAGCCTGCTATATTTGGTCAGGCTAATTTTGTGAAGTGTGTGATGTTAGCTGGTATTGATTTTGAGGGCCTTACATGGCCCGTGGGCTGGATGCTCCCCACTCCTGCAGGGAATCAGGACTCTCTGAATCTTAAGCAAAACTATGGCATTTTTAATGCCATTAGTTATAGAAAAGCTTATGTCCCAGTAAGCAGTTTGCATTACACAATAACTTCCTTACCCCAAAATTCCAGGCTCTCACAATTTTCCATCTTCATATCTATGCCCATGTACCTTTGGGCAGAATTTAGCTGTTCCTCTTCCACATGGATGAAGTCTAATTCTTGATCTTTGACTGTCACCAATTCCTGGAAGAACAAACATATTCTTATAGAATTTGGTGATCTTTTTTTTTCTTCCTTTATTTTTTTTAAAGAGAGAGGGAGAGAGAGATAGAAACATTGATGAGAGAGAACATCAGTTGGCCACCACTGGCATGCCCCTCATTGGGGACCAGGCCCACAACCTGGGCATGTGTCCTGACCAGAAATTGAACCAGCGACCTCTTGGTGCATGGGTCGATGCTCAACCACTGAGCCACACCAGCCAGACAAATTTGGTGATCTTTAAGGGAAGAGGACAATCTAGAAGATGAACTGTTTTTAACTTGAAGGTTAAACATTTATTTTAACCATTTTAATTGAATATTTAAAAATTTCTAAGTATTAGTCTATGTTAGAGAAAATAATAATAATGAACATTTATAACTTATTTTCTAGGTGCTAAGTCCTTTGAAATACCTCTTGTAAAAAATAACCATATAAGGCAGTCTGACTCCAGTGCTATATTTTTAACTATACTCTTCTGTTTCTCACATAGCTTACTAAATAACTAATATTTGAACAACAATAAAATGTTAATTGCTAATTATGTTGTAGATGGGATAAAGCTCATATATGTAATTTACACTGATTCCTGAAATACTCTGAGCTTTGATAGAAATTAAGATTGATATCCAGAATGTATATAAAAAGTTATGCTATTTTAATAGAGTCGTCTTCTTTCTCTGTACTTGGGGCCATCACTTTTAGATTCATTTAGTTATCCTTTAGTAATTAAAGTTGTTCTGAATGATTGAATTTACTTACTTTAAATGGAAAATGATCAACTATTCTAAAATAACAGTCATGTGAGTATACTTTACTGACCACAATTAATTGGAGAATACTTTGTGGGAAAGTCAGTCAATAGAAATAAAGTGGTGAGAAGCATGGGATTTAGGATCAGACATGCCTCAGCTCTGATTAGAGTTCAACCATTTTATCATTCTCAGCAAGTTGCCATGAGCCTGTTTACTATGAAATAGGTATCACCCCTAACTCACATGATCATTTGTTTAAAATAAATGAACTGATGTTTAAAAAGTGCTCTAAATGTTGGCATTCCCCAGAGTTCAGTCCTTAGACATCATCTCTTCTCCAGCTACTCTTATGTACCTATAAACAATTTATTTCTGCCATCTTTAAAAAAAAAAAACACAAAAAAAAACCCTCTATCATCTTACTACTCCTTCCAGTTATCATCCTACTTCTCTCCTTTCCTTTAGAGTAAATCTCTCAAAAATAGTTGTCTGTAGTTCCTGGTTTCACTTTCTCTCTTATTTTTTATTTTATTTTAATTTTTTATTAATTTATTTTTGTTACAGATGTTTCTCCTTTTTTTTCCCCATTGACACCCTCCTCCCCACCCCCCCCTATTTTCATCTGAAACCATTCCAATCAGGCTTCCTCTCCTACCACTTCATCAAATTGTTCTTGGGAGTCAAAATATGATCTTCATATTTTTTAATCCAATGGTCAGCTCTTCAGCCTCAGCTTACTTGACTTAGTAGCAACATTTAACACAGCTGATCATGCCCTGCTCCTTAAAACACTTTCTTCCATTGGTTACCACAATGCCACACTTTGGGCTTCCCCTCACTTTAATGGCCACATCATCTCAGTCTCCTTTGCTGGTTCCCCTTCACCTCCCTGACCTCTAAGTGTTGGAGAGCTAAAGGACTCAATAATAAGATTTCATCTCTTTTCTATCTACACTTATTCTCTTAGTGATTACAGTTTCACAGTTTAGAATACCATTCACACAGATTAACCCCAAATTTAAAGCTCCAGCCTGAGCACTCCCCAGAACATCAAGTCTTCGGGAAAAATTACTTTAGTTCAGTTCCCTAGATGGGATTTGCAGCCCAGCCTGTGTGGCTCAGTGTTTGAGCATCAACCCATAGAACAAGAGGTTGCCGTTTCATTCCAGGTCAGGGCACATGCCTGGGTTGCAGGCTCGATCCCCAGTGGGAGGTGGTGATGGAGGCAGCTGATCAATGTGTCTCTCTCATTGATGTTTCTATCTCTCTTTCCCTTCCTCTCTCTCTAAAAATCAATAAAAATATATTTTTTAAAAAATAGATGAGATTTCCAAGGACCTCCAAAGCAAGATGAAAGAAAAATGAGGACACACTTCGGACACCAAGCTAAGATTTCAGAGGAAAGAAATGAAATGCAAACTTGCCTTGAAATCAACAGGAAGGAGCTCAACATTAGGGTCCATTTCTTCTGTGCACTGTATTTAGGGCAGAGACGCATCTTCAGCAATCATAACTGGAAGGAATAGAAAAAAAAAGCCATGAAAGAGGTAAATATTATCCTCTCGCTTCCAAATTCACTAGGACAAAAGCTATTACAAGCCAGATGAATTATATATGTATATAAAGCCTACTTTACTTAACTCAAAAGCCCAGATGAAGATAGAATAAGACAATAAAGTGAAAGTGCTTTGACCAAAAAGTTAAACTCACAGACCCACAAGTCTAACTGGAGTAGAAAACTGACTTGCCCTTCATCACAAAAGCAAGCAGTATGGAATATTTTCCCTTCCACGTCTTCAGAGAGAATGTGGATAAGCACAAAAGTACTGAAAGAAAAAGTTGGAACTGGGGAGTATGTTATAAGAAGCATACTTAGTGATTTCCAAACATGGTAGCTTATTGAGAGTTCCTCTACCTAAAGGCCTTCTCCTGACATGTGCCTGCTTTCCTTTTCTATCACGTGGGAGACACCTACCTTTTCAGTCTCATCCATAGCATTTTCTCCACTTGTCCCTTCTTTTAACTCCATGTTTATTTCTGTAATTCTTACCTTTTTCCTGAACTTCAACAGTCAGATAATTCAGCTTCTCTTCTTTGTCCTGTTATTGCTATGACTTCCTCCTTATTCACTCTTTCAGATGAGATTAAAATGTATTTTCAGCAATACATATTCTGCTTCTTTGTGCAAACCATTCAACTCTACTCTGAAACTCTGGAGAGAGATTTTGAAGTTAGGTTTGCCCTCCTCTGGAACTGATCCCAGCTTCTTGGATCATCTCCCTATAATCCATCCTACTGCTAGGAGGCTTATTCCTATGCATTAAAGTACTAGGGCTCAGTGTCTGAAACATTTGGGGTTATAGCACCATTTCTTCACGGAACTCATAAGAAATCAACTGTATTGCAAATGTCATCCTATTCCAAGTTACCATAGTCACTTGAATAGTTATGTTACAGGATAGTAAGAAGTAGGGAAAATTACAGGGTAGAAGGAATGGGAAAACGTAGACAAGAAAATTAAACAAAGTCAAACAGTTTGGGCAGCTTGCAGCCGGTTTGTAGCAAAACCTCATCTTGAGAACAAATGGCTAATATCTCTCCTCACTAACCAAAGAATGCAGGAAAGGAGGGGATGGGGGTTTAATACCCCTTTTCACTCTGAACTGCTAAGGCAGGAGGGAGGAAGAGGAAAGGAAAGAAGGGAGAGTTTATCTCACCCACTAAACAAAGAGGTCATTTATTTGGGGAAAGGGGGAAAGAAGAGGGAGTTTTCATCTCACTATTTTATTTTTAAATTTTTTTCTTTATTAATTTTTAGAGAGAGCGGAAGGGAGAGGGAGAGAGAGAGAAAAAAACATCGATGAGAGAGAACATTGATTAGCTGTCTCCTGCATGCCCTGCATTGGGAATTGAGTCCACAATCTGGGCATGTGCCCTGACTGGGAATCGAACTGGCAACCTCTTGGTGCATGGGTTGATGCTCAACCACTGATCCACACTGGCTGGGCTCATCTCATTGTTTAAACAGAGAAGCCAGCAGTCTCAGGGCTTGCTAAAAATAAAATCACCAGCCCTGGCCAGTTTGGCTCAGCGGTTAGAGCGTCGGCCTGCGGTCCGGAGAGACCCGGGTTCGGTTCCCGCTAAGGGCATGTACCTCGGTTGCAGTTTGTCCCCGGCCCTGGTTGGTCGTGCGGGTGGCAGCCACTCGATGTGTCCCTTCACGTCGATGTTTCTCTCTCTCTCTCCCTCCCACTCTATCTGTACAAAAAAAAATGGAAAAGTATCCTCGGGTGAGGATAAAAAAATAAATAAATAAAATCACCAGATGCTTCTCATAAATTCTGGGAAAGCAATAACAAAGAAAAAGGGAGACCTTGAGAGTTAATCTGTACCAAGATACCTGGCAGAGAAACCTTGAAACCTGTAGACAGAAGGGCATATAACCCCTTGAACCCTCAGCAGGCCCTTTTCTCAGACTAGCTGGGAAGTCCATCTGTGATTCATAAACCAGACGTATTTCGATAGGATTTGTTTGCCTTACTGCTTTAATAAATTCACTTGCTTTGTTTCTTTAATAAATTTGCTTTATCGCAACACAATCCTCTGGAGTCACTCGTTTGAATTCGTTCCTATGAGACTGACAAGAACTGAGGAAGGGACAGCTCTCTCCCTTCAATTCAGGGTTCGATAACACTTTTTTCTGTTGTTTTTGGTGCTTATAATAGTTATTCCACCTCTAATCTTACTTTTCCTCAATCCACGATATTCAAGGCAGCCAAGGCGAACATTTAAATGTTAAATCTAGTTTTTTTTAATCCTCACCCAAGGACATATTTTGCATTTATCTTCAGATAGAGCAGGAGAGAGAGAGGGAGGAAGGGAGAGAGAAACATCAAAGTGAGAGAGACACATCGACAGGTTGCCACCCACAGGACCCCAACTGGGGCTGGGGACAAATCGCAACTGAGGTACATGCCCTTAGGGGGAACCAAACCCAGGACTGTCTGGTGCACAGACTGACGCTCCAACCACTGAGCAAAACCGGCCAGGGCTAAATCTGTTTATGTTACTCTTTTCAAAACCCTCCAATGGCTTCTATGCCCTAAGTATAATGAAAACTCATTAACACAGTTTATAAAACCCTGCCAATCCAGAATTTTCTGCTGCTATCTTCCTGTCGTTCTCTGTACGCAGACTACATGCACTTTTTAGTGTCTCACATATCCCAGATTCTTTGCTGTCTCTTAACCTGCACATTCCCTCTGCTTAGAACATCTCCCTCTACTCATCCTTCAGATTTAAATTCAGATGTCACTTCCACAGAGAAGCCTTTCCTGATCTCCTTCCCCTTAATTCAAATTAATTTTCTCATAGAACTCTCTTCTTTCTTTCCATAGATTTGTGACAATTTGTAGTTATACATTTATACTTATCACTATTAAATGTATGCATTTCCACTTAACTGTAAATTCCATTAGGACAAAGTCCATACGTGTTTTATGCATCACTGTGCCAAATTTCAAGCACAGAGCCTGATGAAATTAAGTGCTGATTGTTAAGGTGCCATTTCACGGTTATTCCCAACTTCACTAGGTCATAATTTAGCAGTTCTTTATTTATCCATGGTTACCTCCTTTTATTGTGGTTTTCTTTTTTTCTGACTCCATTCAACAACCATTCCAGATACTGTTCCCCTAAGCTCTACCTCATCACCAAACCCCTCTTTCTTAGTCAATGAATTTGTATTAGGCAGTTAGACAGACATGAGCAGAGCAAGAACAGTGGACCAGGTACAGAAGGTCACAGGTGCCTAGCAATGAGCAAAACTGGTAAAACAAGGACCTTGTCCCCAGGGTAATCTTTCCTCTCCTCGCATATTGCTTGTCATGCAGTTTAGACTCCCTGACCTTTTCTCCCTAGAGATAAAATCTAGATGTCAGTTGTATTTCAGCTCCAGGCCCAGAAAAGCAGCAAAGCCAGACAGGCTATGCCACTGGCTGACATCAGGAGCAGCTCCATTGACTAATGACCAATCACTGGAGACCACCACAACACTGAATAGGCATATGTGGAAAGCTGATGAATATTCTATTGAGATCCTCCCCTGGGACCTTCCCTAACATCTCCACCCTTAAAAGCTTTTAGTACTGGGGATCCAGTCCACTTTTCCTCCATGGAGCACACCTCCCTCTCTTAATCCTACCAACTGCATTACCATTACCTTCCTCACTCGCAAGCTCCAAGGGCCCTTCTTTTGCCTGTAATTTGTTTCCTAATGTTGTAACCCAGGAGAGTCAACCTCACTCAGACACAAAGTTGGGTGAATTAAAGGTGAGCTTTATTACCTTCGCAGGGACTGCAGCCAACCTACACAGAGGAGAACTGCAGCCCCGAGCTCAGGGGGAGGGTTGCTTATATAGGACAGGGGTTACTCAAGAGTTTAGCAGAGCAAGCAAGCTACGTGTACAGAAGTGGAGACAGTTAGCGATAAGCAGGAGGGAAGAGAGATGGATAGCAACAGTTAGCCAGGCGCAATGCATATATTTTTAACAGTTACAATTTTATGGGGTTAAAGGGAGCTTCAGTTTCTCCCTATCAGTTCATTTACAGAGCATGCATGACCCTCTGGCCTTGGTGCCGTTTCTGCTTCTGTCCTCCCTTTTTCTGGAGAATGTTGCTTTTCAAATTCCCAGTGAAAGTCAAATTCCAGTTAATTTTTATGGGCCTAAAGCTAAAAGCCATCTGTGACATTCCCCATTGTTTACCTTGCCATCCCTGAGGCTGTCAATTAGGGCAGCTTAAGGACAAATTGTTTTTCTTCACTGAATTCCAAGGATAGTGAGCTATAACACTAACCCCACTTCTTCTACCACTCATTTCTTCCACCTCGGTGTTTCTAAATAAATGTTTTCTTATAGTTTGACTACCAGCTCTGAATTCTCTCCTAGCCAGAACTCAAGTATCAAGGTTACTGAACCAAGGTCTGTTCTGACCCCACCAGTGTAACACTTGGTGCCATTCTCACTGCCGCCAACAAATTCACCACCATCTATTTCACAGAAAAAAATGAGAGGTTTTCAGGTGGGAATATATCCAATTTCTATAATGGTTAATTTTATGTGTCTACTTGACTGGGCTAAGAAATGTCTAGATAGCTAGTAAAAACATTTTGTATCTGTGAGGGTGTATCAGGAAGAGATCAGTATTTGAATTGGTGGACTGAATAATAAAGATTACCCTCACCAATGCCAGTGAGCATCATCCAATCCGTTGAGGGCCTGAAAAGAACAAATAAATAGGGCATATTTGCACTCTCTGTTTCAGATGAGACATTCATTTTCTGCCCTTAGACACTGGTGCTCTTAGTTCTTGGGTCTTCTGTCTTGGATCGGGCCTTACATCATTGACTCCCCTGATTCTCAGGCCTTCAGGCTTGCACTAGAATTTAGAATTATACCACCAGCTTCCCTGAGATGCCAGTTTGTAGAAGGCAGATCATGGGAATTCTCAGCTCCACAATAGCACGAGCCAATCCCTCAAAATAAATACCTTTATATCTATCTATGTATGTCCTATTAGTTCCGTTTCTCTGGAGAACACTGACTAACACAACTTCCCTGTATTCAAATCTAAAGGCAAGAAGTATCTAAAATACTTAGGAGGTGGGGCCAGCCTGGAATGAATGTGCCTCAGACCAGTTTGCAGTGTGTGGGTTCTTGACTTTGTACAGGAAAGATTTCACACAACACAAGTCCAGGTGATTTTGAGAGTATGTTTATTAAAGCTGGGGACAGTGAAACAAAGGACTTCACACAGAAAAAGCAACAGGAAAGAGCCTTGGTAGCGCTCTTCTTTGGCTCTGTAGAAATGTTATAGGAAAGAAGCGAGCCAAAGCAGGGCTGCTGTTAACTAACTTGGAAGTAACAGTCACAGTGAAAGAAGTGTGCTAAGGCAGGGCTGCTGTTAACTCACTGAAAAGTCAGAGAAAAGGAACCTTCGAGACAGGTTCAGGGGTTAGTCCAGGACAAGCTGCTACTGCCCGCTGCTCCCTAGTTGCAAGTCTTGTGGGGACCCTTAGAGTTTAGGAGAGAAAAGTAAAGATGCATGCCTGAGAGGAAAGAAAGATGTGGGAATTATCTGACGACAGTTTATCCTCCCTCCATTGAATTACTTTGGCACCTTTGAAAAAAACATTTGGTGTCACATTTGTGTGGATCTATTTTTGGGTTCCCTACTCTCTTCCACTGATTTCTGTGTTTATCTGTCCACCAATGACAAACAGTCAATACTTGCAGCTATATAACAAACCTTAAAATCAGATAGACTGACTCCTTCCACTTTATTCTTCTTTTTCAAAATAGTTTTAGTTATTTTATTTCCTTCACTTTTCCAATTTTAGGACAATCTTGTCTACATCTACAAAAAAGAGAGAAAATAAAAATAAAAAGAGAGAACCTTGACTTAAACCTCATAATTTAAATGAATATTAATTAAAAATTAATTACTGACTTAAATGTAAAACCATAAGAAATTCAGGAGGAAAAAAAAAACAAAAATAATTGAAGACAAAAATCTCTGAATCAGGCCTAGGCAAAGAATTCACATCAAAAGCATGACTCATAGAAGAAAAAAATGATAAATTGTATTTCAACAGAATTAAGCATTTTCTCTGAAAAAAAAAAAAAAAACCTGTTAAGAAGATGAAAAGAAAAGCTATGGACTAAGAGAAAATATTTGCAAATCATATATCCAACTAAGGACTGGTATCTAGAATATATAAAGAAATCTGAAAACTGAACAGCTAAAAAGAAGAAAAAAAGAAGAAGAAGGAGAAAAGGAAACCAAATTATACAACTGAGAAAAGGACAAAAGACATGAACAAACATTTCACCAAAAAGAATATACAGATTAAAAAATAATCACACAGAAAGATCATTAGCATTCCATATTCAACATCATTAGCCATCAAGGAAATGCAAACAAAGTCATAATGAGATACCAATACACAGCTATCATATTGGCTAAACACACACACACACACACACACACACACACACACACACACACCTGACAACACCAGATGCTGGTAGGGATTCTGAGAAACTGGATCTCTCATAGATTGTTGATGGAAATGTAACATGGTACAGCCACTCTGGAAACAGTTTGGCAGTGTCTTTAAAAAACAAAACTGAACTTCCCTGGCCAGTTTGGCTCAGCATTTAGAGCATCTGCCTATAGATGGAAGGGTCCTGGGTTTGATTTTAGTCAAGGGCAAGTACCTGGGCTACAGGTTCAATCCCCAGCCCCTGTCAGTATTGTTCAGGAGGCAACAAATCAGTGTGTCTCTTTCATATCCATTTCTCTCTCTCTCTCTCCTTTCCTCCCTCCCTCCCTTCAACTCTCTCTAAAATCCAGTGGAAAAATATCCTTGGGAGAGGATTAACAAAAATAAACAAACAAAACCAAACTAAGCATGCAACTAACATATGATCTAACAATTTAACTCCAGAGAAATAAAAACTTGGGTTCACACAAAATCTATATACTAATGTTTATAGCAGCTTTACAATGGCCCAAATATGAAAACAATCTAGCTGTCCTTCAATGGATGGATGATTAAACTGCAGTGCATCTGTACCATGGAAAACTACTCATTAAAAAAGGAATAAACTATTGATACAACGCAACAACTTCTCCTTCCCCTCAAATACTCCTTTCTTTCTCCTACACTTCTGAAATTACATTTCTCCTTTAACTTCAGCTACCATCTTCAGGAAGGCTCCCCTGGCTGCATGGTTGATATTCAGTCCCCTAACCTTGCCCCACCATGTCTTTGCTAACACCTCTGGTTTATGCCACAATTTGTCTGTTACAGGCAATTGCTTATGGTCCGTCTCATGAAAAAAAAAAATCAGCAGCTCCATTAGGTCAAGAACAGTATCTTTTAAATTTTTTTTATTCCCTATATCTCTCAGCATGGTGTATTGCACACAGAAAGTCATTAATAAATGTTCACTGAATTACCTCATTAGGAAAAACAGTGCCATATGAAGAGTGGGCACTTGAATTATTCAGTCATCCAACAAGTATTTAGTGATCATCTGTTGTACACTGGTATTTGCACGTGTATGGTCACTGGAACCACAATTTTGAACAAACGAGACAAAAACATTGAATCTCAGGGAACTTACATTGAAATTATATATTAGTTTTCTTAATGCGTTCACTTGGGGAATTTCCCAGGCAGGCGTGCTCTAATGGAATAGAAGTTTCTCAAGAGAAACCTTGCTTGCCAAAATCCTAAACCTCATGACATCACAAGCAGAACATCATGACATCTCAAGCAGAGGTAGGTTATTATCCAACTAGCCACCAGTGGGTGCGATAGGCACAGAAAAACCCTTTGCTGATTTATTTTGTTGTTCTTTTTTTCATTTTTATTTATTTTTTTATTCTCACCCGAGGATATTTAGAGGATATTTTATCTTCATAATGCATTTTTGCATTTATCTTCATATAGAGCGGGAGGGAGAGAGAGACACATGGAGTAGTTGCCAGCCACACAACCCCAAACGGGCTGGGGCCAAACTGCAACCTAGGTTCGTGCCCTTAGCGGGAACTGCAAGTCTCTCTCCACCGCAGGACGACTTTCTAACCGCTGAGCCAAACTGGCCAGGGATAGTTTGCTGTTCTTTCTCGTTCTTGCTGAAAGAAGTGCACGTTCTTACTTCCCGTTTGTTCACGCTATAACTCATGGGTCCCTAACATTCATCTCTCCTGGAGCATCAGTTGGTCCTGCCTCTCCTCACGTTTCTTTCCCTCACTGACCATTATCCATGTTTTGGATGTTTCTTTCCACCCAGCTAACCCTCATTCCCCAAGCCCTGCTACTGCACACATGCTACTGCACACATGATGTTCCTGAATGCTGCAGTAACCCACTCGAAAGTTTGATTCAGTAAGCTAAGACTGTACCGGGACATCAGCCCGAGATCCAAAGGAATGTAGCCTTACTCCGAGAAATCAAATTTATATGAAGAAGAGGAAAATAAAATATATTTATTTAGGGAACAAAAAGACATTCGTACGAAGTTATTCTAAAATCAGAGGAGGGAAAGAATTAAATCTGGACTGCTGAAACAGGAAGGAGGAATCGGAGGTTAAAGGGATAAAAAAACAATTCAATTTAAAAGTATGATAAATATCTGAAGAAGAGTAGCAATTGGTACTCATAAAATTAAGAACACTGATCATGTCTGGGGGTGAGGAAGAGTTATAAGGGTACAGAGAGTTCCCGTGGCCTTGTTTCTTTCCGTCTCTGCCCTCTCCTCACATTCCTTGTGCAGGAGGAGCGCTATTCCTGGACGGGCCCTTACTTCTTTCTAGGAAAATACTATGGCCGGGAGGTCTTGCTTGGCTTGAGGCTCTGGCATCTTCCCCAGCTCCGCCTCGTGGGGACACGGAAATATCAGGGGTCCATCTGCACTGTTCCTTGGAGCCCGATTCCTGTTCTCCCAGTAGCTGCTGCCCATTGTTGATATCTGTCGCCCCGCTCAAGAGTCCCAGGTCTCGGTGTCCCGAACCCCAGGCCAGCCATGCCAGGGTTCGCCCCAACGTGGGCTCCCTTTCTCAGTGGTTCAATTCCTCTCATCTGGGAATCTGCGTGATCATTTTGAATCGCCTCACTTGCACCGGTGAGGGCGCGGGGACTGGGCGGAGCAGAGGCTTGTTTACTGTCACCATGGAAACCGTGCGCGCACCCTGGGTGGAGCTACGGAAGGGGCGGGGTCAGGACCCGGGACGCAGGAGAGGGTCTCCCAGCCGTTCTAACGATTCCAGGAAGCCTTCTGCTTGGCTTCGCTACTCAGGCTCGACCTTGCGCCCTGGCCTCTCAAAATTAGCCGGCCAGGGAAGAAGGGAGGCCATGGGGACCCCGGATTTGGGGGTTTGCTCTCATCTGATGTCGTGACGGTTGCCAGTCACTGTCTCCGAGCTGCTGGGAAGTATGGGACATTTTCCGATTCTGCACGGCAAAGCGAGCAGGCCGGACGGGGAGACAGAGACAGGAGCTGGAAGGCGAAGGACTGTGGCGGAATAGGTCACTCGGGGGCAGGGTCAAAGACAAAGTCGAAGACGGGGCAGTTCTAAAGGTCTTCAACGGACGGAGGCAAGATGGAGGACGGGGACCAGAGGGGCCCATTGTGAAGCGCCTGGAACCTTGACTGCCGATTGGCCAGGCTTGTGAAGGGCAACGACAAAAGCCCAGGTGCCAGGCCAGATACTGGACAGAGTCTGGGCGCAGAGAGAGGGGTCTCAGGCTCTGGACCTTGTGTAGTTTCCTTCAAAGCTAACTCTGCTAAGGAATCCGCCCCCTAGCCCGTTCCACAGACTCGGGTCTTGGGTTTCCCGCGACCACCGTCTCCTCCGCTGTGTCCCGGATCTGTCTAGGACTGGGGCTGCTGCATCCCGCACTCGAATCTCCGGGGTCCAGCCCTGGTTTCGTGCCCGGTTGACAGCTGCAGCTCCCGGCTTCCAGTGCATATCCGTCTTAGGCCACAAGGGGAGCTGCTGAGTCCCAGAAACAAGGCTGGGAATTGGGAAGGTCGGGGGACGGGTCAGGGAGCTGAGCCGTTGTAGGATGTGTGTCAGTGCCTTGATGTGAAGTCCTGAAGGTAAGAGGCAATCCCTTTTTCAGGAGAGGAAGGTGCCCCAATGGTGACTTCTTAGCTAATGGAGAATACTCAGTGCGTGAGATTAAATGAACAAAAGATCTGAACTCAGAAGACATCCAGTATTGATAATCATTCTCTTTATAGTCTTTGCAAATGGGTATTTTTTTTCACGCAATCATTTTCATATGAAGTAAATAATACTGTGCCACGTAAAAAATCCAATATTATAGACGACCTAGTGAAGTAATGAGGGTCATGCTGTGCAGAGCAAAACTAGAATAGAGAATGAGAAACTCCACTTCAATAGGAGTGTCTAGAGATAGTTTTGACAGGCGCCAAGTGGCAACCTTTTGGACCCAATGTGGACTAAGAATCACCCAAACTTCAGAGTATGACTTAGAAGAGAGCTCCAGGTATTAAAGGTGTGGACAACGCTAATTTTTTTTTTCTTTTGTTAAGGAAACCTGTTAAGATGGACTCAATAGTTAATGGCTCTGCTAGGATGAGGGGTGATTCTATCCTGAATTTCTTCAAGTTTTCCAGGACTCTATAATTATTACTATTTTATTCTTAGGAAACTTTTCTCTTGATAAAAGTGTCAATTGACTGAACAGTGGAACCAGCTGTTGTTTGAAATACTACCATAAACAGGCAAGAAGTTGTTACAATATCGTCAGAGAAAATGCTTAATTCTGTTGAAATACAATTTATCAGGCCTGATTCAGAGATTTTTGTCTTCA